AAGAATGTCCTCCTTGCACACAACCTCTTTGCTCCCTTCGGTCACATGAGCCTTGCAGAATTACTCCTTCCGACAAGTTGTGCCTGTAAGTGCCTTCATATCATACTGACTCTCGTGTGCACTGCACGGGGGTGGAATGGGGTGATGGATACTGTGGAAGCTGCAGGAATATTTGCTAAGGGTTAATAGAAATATATCAGGTGGTGAGGACCTTGGAACCAGAGAGTTAGGAGAATTTTCTAATTGCTCCCAAAGGAAAAAACCCAAGTTAACATCAGGGTGTTCTGTGGACAGGGATTCTCAACCCTGATTATGCATTGGAATCACCTAGAGAGCTTTTAAAAAATACTGATGCCCGGGTCCCACCCCAGTTCAAGTCAGAAGGCAGAGGCAGTAATATAGGAGTGGGGACAGAGGAGAGAGAGCGAGGCCACACTGATGTACTGAGGGGACGCAATCTCCTTCCTGAAGTCACACGCATGAAGGTGGACATTCATCTGCTTGATGATGTAACCACATGGCAAGCCCAGGTTCTATGCAGCTTAGGAGCTCGATTGCAGTTCAAGAAAGCACATTGCTTTGCAAGAGTGATGCTGTTCTAGGTCCCTGAATCTTTTGAAGTTATACAATGAATGTATTACTGAAAAATATCAGCACTATTTTTAGTCTGCTCCACTTCTCCACCTATGCTACTGAGAACCAGGCTGGATGATGTAATGTCAGTGGAAAGGAGAGAAAAGCACGGTAGGGCCCTTTTGCATGCCCCAGCTCTTAGGGATCGGGTAGTGAGTAGAGTGTGGTGGGTGCTGGGCAGGCACTGCCCTGGTGGCCCTTTGGGTCCTCACCATGAGGGTGGGCACGAGGGAAATTACCTCAGTGGTGATGGAAGCCAAACTCGCTGTTCTTGCCGTCTCCCCAACTGCTTTTACGTTTGTGTAAAACATGTTAACGTTACACTTTTCCAACTTGTTTTGTAGGCTATTATGCTGATAATTGGAAAGACTATTTAACGGAGAAAGACCCTCCTATGACTAAAGCATACTTTGACACAGCTGAGGAGAAACCGTTCTGCAGTGAGTGGTGAATGTGGTTGTTGGTTTTGCCCAACCCCTTTACTTTCGGAATGGCTGAGTCTCAGCTTCCCAGCTACTTCTTAGTAAATGCAGGCCATGGTGCAGTGTGGACTTTGGAGCTGGAAAAACCTAGGTCGAATCTTGACTCTACATCATAGCTGTGCGACCTTAGTCAAGACATTTGACCTCTCTGAGTCTCAATGTCCTGCTAGGTCGAATGGGGATAAGAATGTCTATCTTCTGGGTAATAAGGATTAAAATATCAACAAAGTTGTTAGCTTCATTGGATGGCCATTGTAATCGCTAACATCTTCCAGAAAATTGCTTGATCCCCCAGAGACATAAGATTGGCTCTAGGAAAAATCGGTGTCAGCCACATCTATGGGTGGATCAGCTCCACCTCGAAAGCAACTATGGTGACCTTCAAAAGACACTGAGAGATTGGGTATTCCAGTTGGGAGCTAAATGGGGTAATAGATAAGATGGCCTGAGAAGTAAGGAATTTTCCCCGGCAGATGTATGTCTTCTAACCTTGTCTCCCTTTTCACTTTTCTTGGGAGCAACACTTGTAAAAGAGGCTGCAGATCACTGGGTTTCCCTCCTTCTTTAGAGCCACATATGGCAGCCAAGGGTTTTGTGTCTGCCAGGTCCAAATGGAGCAGGGCCTTGAGCAATAATGGGTCATAAAATGGCAACTCCAGGGCTTACCTTACTCCTTTGGGGGACAGCCATCTCCCTGAACCTCTTTCTCCTTCTCTACAAGTCTGACCAAGAGAGAGCAAATTTGAATGTCATCGTGGGATCCCATCTTCCCAAAGCATCCTTGACCTTGGTGAGCAAAGAGTGAGGAGGAAGCCCTAGCCAGTTTGGCTCAGTGGATAGAGCGTTGGCCTGCAGACTGAAGGGTCCCAGGTTCGATTCTGGTCAAGGGCACATGCCCAGGTTGCAGGCTCGATCCCCAGTGGGGGGCGTGCAGGAGGCAGTTGATCAATGATTCTCTCTCATCATTGATGTTTCTATCTCTCTCTACCTCTTCCTTCCTCTCTGAAATCAATAAAGAAATATATTAAAAAAACAAAAAGAGTGAGGAGGAAGAAGAGTTCTCCAAACATGTCAGGCATGCTCATTTATTGAGTAGGAATTTAATGGGTGTCTATAAGGTGTTATTGCTGAGATTATAAAGAGGAACAATCTTCCCTTTATTCCTTCCCACTTATTGTTGTAGTATATTTTAGTTTTATCACTTTTTTTGTAACCTCATAAGACACTATTCAGGCAATATTTACTAATATATAGAGTGTACCCATTCATTTACCACGTTTTTATTATCATTTTTTCTTGCATTTTAAAAATACAGTAAAGTGTGCTGACTAATACTGGGAGAATCCCAGAGCATGATAAGAATTCCAAGAGATAGATCTGTCTTAATCTGAGGGTCAATGAAGGCCTCCTGGACAAAGTGACATTAAGCTGAAACCTGATGGATGAGTTGACAAAGGTGGCAAAGGAGTGTCCAAGTGAGGGGAAGGCTCAGGAGCAAGAGGGATTTTGGCAGTGCAGGTGGTGTGGCATGACCAAAGAAGTGAAGAGGGAGGCTGGATACGCTGGTGGATGTGGCCCAGGCTGCGGAAGACCTTGACAGCTGTGGAGTGTCTCTACGTGGCCACCTGGTTGGTTTATTCTAAAATGGGTGGGGATTGAAATGAACCTGTCAATCAGCAGTAGGCCATGAGACCTCCTTCAATAGGTGGGAGCACTGTTTCAACGGTGATGCCTAAACATGGCGACTGGATACCATTGGGTTCTGCTGTCACTCAAGCCATCTTTACCAAAGGGAATAGAAAGACATTTTAGAAAATTTTGCCCTGTTGTTGGCAGAGAAACTAGAGAAGAATTTAAAAAGGCTCAGTTATTAGGGAGGTTGGGTTTTTAAAAACTGGCCCTTTAGGAGAACAGTTGGGAGTATCTCTCTCTCACCATGTTTTCTCCTGGTTTTGCAGTATATCATTACTTTGTGGATATTATAACTTGGAACAAGAACATAAGAAGAGGGTCCATTACAATCAAATTGAAAGACAAAGCTGGAAATACCACAGAATCCAAAATCGATCAGTAAGTTGGGTTGGGATCATTTACAGTTTGCTATTTTCCTTTTTTGCTCAGAGAAACTGAATTCCAAATATACCCATTTTCTTATTTACATGTCTGTACTTTCCTTTGTTTTACAAAAGATATAAGGGGACATATTGTTTAGTTGCTTCCTGTGGCTCTTATAATATCACTATATTATATTCCTCCCACCAAGCTGTATTGCTCCCTCCACCCCACCATTGTTAGGATTTGTGAGTAGTGGGGTTTTGGGGGATCTTCATTGATCTATTTCAATGACTGCACTATAGTGTCAGTGTTCTCATACCCACAGTGGGGCAGCATTTTCAGGCAGGGCACCCTCTGTGTAGCATGTCTTGAAGAGTCAGCCTCAGGTCGTTTCTGAGCTGTGACCTTCAGTGAGGCAGCAAGACAGAGACCTCATCTGGAGATTCTAGGAAATGGCAGGGGAGATCATGCAGTTACATAATGGAGAGTGTTCGCTTAGCAAAACGTGAGTATTCATGTCAATAATTGCTTACGTATTTACTAGTACCTGTCGTAGGAGTTTTAATTTTACATAGTTAATTTCTTCCAGGTAGGGACTCCTATATTTGGAGCGTTTTTAAATTTTGATTACGATAGAGACCTTAACATCTTCATATTAGTCATGTTTAATCATTCTCATTTTAGTCATGTTTGTGAAAAAGTCATCACCAATCAGAGAATATATGGGAATAAAAGGAAATACTTGTTTTATTATGTGGGAAATAATGGCTACTTTTTTTGCAAGGTAAACTTTGACATTTTAGTATTATTTTTACAATTTAAGGTAAAATAAATGATATTACAGTATGTACTTTGAGTTTATCCAGTCTTACCAGACTATGGGTGCAAATGGAGTCACATTCAAGGTTATTATCTGCCTGATGACTCTTTCTATATCCATGTTTTACATGTATTTCTTGTTTTCAACCTTTTAAGAAATTGAAATATAATTCACATCCTATAACAGTCATCCTTTAAAAGCACCTGTTTCCTTGTCTGTGAAATGAAGATACTAATACTCACCCTGCAGTAATTTTCAGGGGTTGGAGACATGTGTCAAGAGTTGAGGATGCTGCCTGGCTATTGTAGGCAGCACATACCCTTCTAAAGTCATAGCATTTCCTTGGTCATGGGGTCAGCAGTGCTTGGGAAGCCAGTGGACTTTGCCCACGAAAGTCGGCTATTGCAGGCTATGGAGTCAAATGGCTGCCTGCTTACTGATTTATAAGTTTCAAAACTCTTTTCTTTCACTAGCAATCAATATCCATTTAAAAATAGTATTTCTGAAGGCCTGGGGTGGGGGGCAGGGGCAGGCTCGAGGGAGTCAATGGTTGGGGGTAGGGGGGAGGAGGGGGACATATGTAATACTTTCAACAATAAAGAATTATTAAAAAATAAAAATAAATAAAATAAAAATAGTATTTTTTCCTTCTAGTGAACCTGCAACATTCCAGAAATACCACCAAGTGAGTCTGCTTGCAAGGTTTAGTCGAGACCTGGATAAAGTGGCAGACATTTCCCTCGTGTTCTCTACAGGATCTGTAGTAGGCCCGAGGTACAAGCTCAGGATTCTCCGAATGAAGTTAAGGTCACTTACCCATCCAGAGAGGTGAGCCATACATAGGCAGGGTTTGACAAGCCCGTTTTCCAAAGATGCTGTTGGTTCTTGTCCAGTCAGCTTGGTCTAATGCTATAATTGGCCTTCATCAATCACAATGAAGGAAGTGAAGAGTTTTCCAAAAATAGACTTGATAAAAACAAGTAGCCTAGCAATCCAAGGAAATTTTACTGGTATGCACTTAAAGATAAATGGCCCAATAGTCCAAAGAAATAATTGTCCTTATATGTATAGAGTTATACAATTCCTCCCTAACCACTCTACCCACATTGCTTTGCAAGTTGCTAATTTGTTGTAGAAAAGAAAGTCTCATATAATTCAGCAAACTGATCGAACAGGTCCTAGTATAAAAAATGGTATAGAACAATTAGAATATTTTATTCCATTGGTACAGTATGAAAGTGAAATTTGATAACTGCACTGAAAATGTCCTTGTTCTTAGGAAATACACACTGAAGAATTAAGTGGTCAAATGACCTATTCTCAATTGGTTCAAAAAAAAGTAAACAATGAATGTGTTTGTGTGTGCATGTGTGTGTGTGTGTGTGTGTGTGTGTGTGTGTAGAGACAAAGGAGAGAAGAAAAGGCTGAGATGGTATGTATGTTTATGACTAATGCCACATATAGTTCTAGCATCCAACTTCAGGCACAAGGGAGGCAGGAAGTGATGTGAACAGATAGTACTTAATAAACTCCCTTTTCCTGAAGGGTTAGGGTACCCTAAAACATTTAATAATACAAGTTTCTTCTAAGGTTTAGGGTACACCAAAACATTTAATAATACAAGTTTCTTTTAATACCCTTTTTCCTGATTACCAAAGGGATACATGTTCATTTAAAAATTTTGGAAAGTGCAGAAAGTGTTAGGAAGTAGAGAAACATCACCCATAATGTCATTATTCAAAGGCAACCACTGTTAACATTTTTGGTTATTTCTTTCTAATCTGCTTTCTATTACTGTTATTTTAAAAAATATATGTTTCATTGATTTTGAGAGAGGAAAGGAATGGGAGAGAGAAAAACATCGATGAGAGAGAAACATTGATTGACTGCTTCCTGCACGAACCCTACTGGGGATTGAGCCCAGAACCCGGGCATGTGCCCTGATCAGGAATCAAACTGGTGACCTCTTGGCTCCTGGGTCAACCTCAACTGCTGAGCCACACCGGTTGGGCTCTATTACTGTTCTTAGACCTAGTTGACTTTCTGTGTCAAATAAATTTTTACATCCTGTTTTATTGTTGCTGCTGCTGTTACTTTGCTTATTTACCATAAGCATTTCCCTATAACATTAGAAATAATTGCTAAATCATTTCATATCCTAAGGATATAATACAAGTTATTTGACTAGAATAGGGCATATTTATTATTTCATTGACAAGACTATTTCATCTTATTTTTGCAGGCCCCAGTTGTGTCGGTATGACCTTGTTCTGATGGAAAACGTTGAAACCGTCTTCCAACCTATTCTTTGCCCAAAGTTGCAATTGTAACTGTTGTCGGGACACATGAGTACCAAGGAACATCAAGAAAGCTATGGCCGGCTTTCTGAGAGCTTTGCCTTCCTCACCGTCTCCTCCAGGCACAAAAAGTACGGAATAACCAGGGTTTTTCCAGTCATGTCCCATGGATGTCACATTGCAAAATGTCAGATGACTTTGGATTATAGAACAGTCCTGAGAAGGCAGGCCTTAAGTAGGGCAAGTCTGAAATAGCCAGGCCCCAGGCAGCCAGCGCCTTCTGTGGCTGCGTCCTGGGGCCTCCTTTGTGCTGCCCTGTGATTCTGCTGCCTGTCACTCAGGCAATGGCTGGAGACCTCACTTTGGATTCGACTCCACATTCCCTGTGCCAATTCCTCCAAGTCCCCGCATTTAGAAGGGAACCAGACGGACCTACCTCACAGGGCTGTCGAGTGGGTCTTGGAGGCAAGTCTGTGAAGGGTTCTTCGAAATCCCATGGGTGCACTTCCACATCTGTGAGTGGTATGATAAATGTGAATTGCTTTTATTTAATTTTATAAAGCTTATCTAACAAGCAATAAGAGAGCTATTTCTTACCAACACCAGCTTCTCTCTTGGGCTGCTCTGGGAAGGTAAGAAAGCCATACCCTGGCTTCCCATCTCTTCTCCATTGGGGGAAATGTTTATTTTTCCTTATTGCTACTGTAAGCCATGATTATTGAAGGAAATTTAGACAATGCATAGATGCAAAATGAACATATGCTATACACAGTTCCACCTGTTAGAGGGAATTAATGTTAACCTTTTGGAATAATGCTAAGTAACTTGCGTTGCTAACATAGGAGTTCCAAGCATAAACTGGTTTGCTCCTGGAGCACGGGCAGCCTCCAGCTTGAGGGATTCTTAGGCTTCCCCAGGGCTATGTGTGACCCAGGAATCTGGAATGACTGCAGCAGCCAAGCCAAGGCCAAGAGGGCCAAGGCCAGAGGCCAGAACCAAGGGAGGACCATCCGTGGGGCCAGATGCCCAGTGTGGGGACAGCCAAAGGGGTGAGCACCACGCTTCCCACAGCTGTGGCCACTGTGGGAAATTCTGTGATTCCTGAGTGTCACAGGCCCGGTGACTTCCTCACCCAAGTGATTCTCCTACTGCTTTCTGTGAGAACAGCCCTTATTTGAAAGAAATGGACTCTCTATTTCACAAATTAGAGGGTTCTGTAAGTATGTTCCTGTGTGGCACGTTTTTATACATGTAATACAGAGCTTTTCACTTCAGTGAGGGATGCCTGCAGTGAATAACTGAACTCTGAGAGAAAAGTCTCAGCGACGGTCCTCCCACCTGGACATTTTATCACCCTTCCCCCTCCTCCCACATTCCCTCAGCCACTGGGGATGAGAGATCAGTGTGCTATAGGCCCTGATTTTATTAGTTTCCTCTGTTCTGCATTCTGATTAGCGCAGTCACTTCTTCGTCCTCCTTCCACTTCCTGGTAGGCAGCGGGTCAAAACAATAGAAAGGAAGGGCCAGAATAGCATTTCTGTCATTTATTATAAACTCCCCAGGCCAGTGGGTGTCCCTCAGCTTCGTCTCCTGGTGCCTCCTAGCTCAGTACCTTGCTCACTGGGGACTGGTTGGAGGGATAAATGAACCGGTCAGTGAGCAAAGGAAGGAAGGACGTTTGTTCACTGGAGTGGAAACGAATTTCAATGAATTTCATTTAACAGTGACCAGGAGAAATGAAGGCAGTGACAGGTGTGACCACTCTCTTCTCAGAACCTTTCTCCCAAGGCCCCAAAGATCTCTTGCTATCCTGGCCTCTCCTCCCTTCTCTTTGTCAGTGTACCTGTCTGAATCCCACATCCAAGATAGTCTATCCTCTTCCTGGCCATCATCACCCATTATCGTCCACTTACTGTGTGGGCCTTAGCTAAACTGTCACTTCTTCAGGGGGAGTCTTCTCGGACCTTGTTTCCCATACAGCTCACTGAACTTCTCCTTCATAGCACCTTTTTAAGTTGTATTTTTGTACATTTATTTGTATGACTATTTAATATCTATTTTTTCCACTAGACTGCTCTGCAGGGCAGGAGCTGTGTACATAGCGTGGTGCCTGCACTCAGGAAATACACTATTTTTAAATGAACACTCTCCACTATCTTGTGAGCTTTATGGAACTATGTTTAGTTATAAGTAAAGGTCTCCCCTCCCCCAGTCAGAGTCCATTTCCCTTGAGGCACCCACCTTTCCTTTCCATTGACTCCCCCCACCCCCGCCCCCCACAACACACAATTTGTTGTTATTGTCTCCATTATCTCTGGAGGTCCATAGCTCACTTCCCAGGCTCCCTGGGAAAAAAGAGAGGTCCCCCCCCCCGCCTTTGAACCTTCCAAGTGCTCCCAACACCATTCTTCAGCATGCCCATCTATCCTGAAGCCTGGGAGTTTTGCTCTCCCCCATTTTAGTGCCTTGGCTAAAACCCTCCAGGACTCTTCAGCCTTCCTGGATGACTCCAAACCGTGGTTCAAAGACCCCCTTGCTTGTTTTTCCATGATGCCATTCCACCACCCCACTTGCCACCGACTTTGTATGTGCTTCCATTGCTGCTTTCATTATGTCGTATTGCAGCATGTTTCCATGTCTGTGCCCACTCCGAGACTGTGAGCGTCACAAGAGCAGCTGCTGCTTGTTTGTCTTGGCCGCCCTAGCCTCTAGCACAGGGGTGGGCAAACTTTTTGACTGGAGGGCCACAATGGGTTCTTAAACTGGACCGGAGGGCTGGAACAAAAGCATGGATGGAGGGTTTGTGTGAACTAATATAAATACCACGTAAGGGACAAGGCAGGTGCTCATGAAATGTGTGTTGAACAGAATGGAGTGGACTCAACCCAAGGACTTGAAGGAGGTCACCTCCACTCTGACTTAGACATCGACACATTTAACTGTTATTTATGAACTCAGACCCTCCCACCTTCAGACTCCTGCCCTGCGCTTTCAGTCCTACAAAAATCTGTCTTGGCCAAGAAGATTAGGGATGCCAGCAACAGAAACCCACTGATACAACACAGGTTTTATTAAAGAGATAGCTTGTAGAAACCCAGGAAGAGCTGAACCATCAGACCACGGCAAGGGCAGGGATGGGGGCAGCCTGTTCACGGTCCTTTATTAACCCTAGTGCTCAGCCATGAGTCTCACTGCCTCAGCTCAGCTGTCTCCACAGGGCAGTCAGACCACCGGGGTCCTTGGACCACTGGGTCTTCAGCCACTAATTAGGTATCCTGATTCCAAGTTCAGGACTCTCTTGGAGAAGGTGACCATCCTGTTCCAATCAGTTATGGTTGGAGCTGGTGGGGAAGCAAAATCATGTGGTCGTCAGAGCTGCTTCTTTCAATTGTTGGGCGCAGAGCTGATGAAGCCAAGGTTGAGTGGTATTGACAAAGAGCCATGGTAAGTGACTGGCGAATTCACTCTCACTGGAGCCTCTTGCCTTTTCTTCCCTCCCACTTCCCTGAGCCATTGACACCCACCTGCTTCCCAGTCCAGCACCTGTCCCTGGTGTGGGATACAGCTGTCCTTTGTCAGGGGGCCTAGGCATATACTATGAGTGAATGGCCTTGATGGAGGCTGGGACAGCCTACAGGTGGTGCACTGGCTGGTTAGAGTTGGCTCTGTAGGTGTTGGGTTGGGGCCAGGAGAAATGGGGAGACTGAGATCAGAATGGAGGTGGGTTGGGAATGGGGAGCACAGTCCAGGGCTTCCCCAAACTGAGAAGTTGAGTAGGAAGAATACGGATAGGAGTCTTCGGGGGGCGGGGTACATAAGGGAAGGCAAGCAGAGGCTTGGAATGTGACCCTGTAGGGAGTTAGGTTTGCATTTTCCAAAATAGCTCTGTCAAAGGTTCTTTACCACCTCATGTTGGCTGAATCCCACAACCTTCAGGTCTCCTTGCTGGATTTTTCCATGGGCTCTGACACTGAGCACAGGTCCCTTTTCTGACAGTCTTTCTTGGGCTCTCAGGACACGTCTCCTCCCCACCTCCATTTCTCATCCAACATCGTTGAATGAACTGTCTGGTTCTTTCACTGGTTCCGCTATTTCCTAGCCTGGCTTCTGATCTCAGTCTTCTCTCTCACAAAATAATGGAGGGTAAGAGACTAGACTCTGTTTGCTGGTGTGTGATCTCTGTCAACTATTCCTAAGCTTCCATTTCCTGGACTGTACAGTGGGGGCTGTTAAGAGTCCTGCTTCATGAGAGTTGTTATATGGAATAAATACATTCTTGTGTGTAAAATGCTTACTGTGAGGTCGTGAGTGTATTATTAGGTACTCAATGAATGTCAGCTGCCCTTACTGCCCCCCCCC